CTTACCTCATAAATACAGCACTGGATAATGGTGAGCAGTGTTAGAGCTACTGCATGAAGACTGAAGAAAACATCATTGATAGCCACAGGGTTCACGCCACTGGGGTAACTGAGTAAGAATTCTTCCTAAGTGCAAGAGAAACCAAAACTAGCTAAGTGTCATAAATCCCTTATGTAGATACCTCCACTCCTGAAAAATAGTAAAGAGAATAATGATTACCTTAATTAAGGGAATCCAGAAGAGTCCAACGTTAAACACACTGTATGCTATGAAGCCAGTAAGGTTTAGTGCTATATAGTCAAAGCTTAGTCCAACAACACTAGAGAAGGAGAAAAATATGATTAAACTTAAGGGATTACTTATCCCTAGAACATACAGCCAGATAGGCAATTTTTTTTTTCCTTTTTGTTGAAATCCAAAGCTGTAGGTGTTGTGATGACATGATGCTGAGTTCATTGAGTAGTAAGGTGAAGTATCCTTTCGTATGCCACACACTGGCATTCACAACTGCTCTCACTGCCAAGCTTGTTGCTGTCTAACTTTACTTCTTCATGGGCTCAGCCAGCCTGATAAAAATCATGCCAGTCTAAATCCACAGAAGCAGCAGTGCGTCTTTGCCAGAGTGATTGCTTCAGTTTTCATGCTACAGTTTTCCTACTTGCAGTCATTTTGTTTAAAGGGAGCTAATCTAATGATAACACTACAAATTGCTGTCTAGTAAGAAGCTCACAAGGGAAGTAAATTTTAAGGGTGTCAGCACAAGTGCCTTGGCCAGATGATACATGCAACGTGACATCACAGGAAACATGGAAGCCCTCCTCTATCAGGAGTTAATACTGGGTGGCAAACTTCAGAATCAGAATTTCTTCTGATCTACATCTGTAAAAGCTCACTGGTGCTGCATAAATTCAGGCCCAAACTTTATTCTGCTTCTCTTCCTGCCTCCAATCTTTTCGTGCATAATTCCCAAGAACAAAGATTGTCCCTGAACCTCGGAACACGATTTTCAGAAGTGCTTAAGGGACCTGCAAATGCATCTTACGTTTCCTTACCTTTTTCGTCGCCAGTTCTCAAACAGTTGAGGATAGAAGGAGATAGACCAAGCAAGGAAATAGATCCATCCAATCACCTCATCAGCATATTTCATTATGATGCTATGAATCACTTGAAATTGAATCCTAGGTCTGAAGGTTAATACAAACAAAGGTTAATTTGCCTGCTCATACTTTATTTCACAGACTTCTGCCTTGTTCTGCTCATAGAAGAAAAGCAAGCAGAGTCCAGGCATTGAGACAAAACAAAGATTCAGAAATAACTTCCTTGAAGTTTTTCCCCCTTTATTTAGTCTTCCTGTTATATTTAGGGTACGTCCTACTCCTATCCTCAGCCTTTTTCTTTCTATTCTACATAGAAATCTTCAAAAAGGCTATTTTGTGCCTATGGTTTCCACAGTCTAAGCACAAGGTCTGTTATGCAAGAGCAGTTTCACTTTTCATGCTCTGCCAGCAAAGCCCCATGATCATGCCTGGCCTGTTGATTGCTTTTTGAATGTGGTTATCTCTGCTTTTACTGCAAGTCTTAAAAGGAGAAGTAAAATGAGGAACTAACACAGGACTATCCTGTTGATAAGCAGCATCTGGGCAACATGGAACTAGAATCCAGTTTCTTCCCTTTTGCTAGATTGTTTTCCTGGTAGAGAGGACCAGAATCTGTGAACAGAGGGCTCCCATAACCAGGGAGCAGAACACCTGCATCTCCTTATGATTACGTGGACATACAGCATTAGCACTGCAGAGCAAGCTCTGCACACTAAGTGTAGTTTCCTGCTAGGCATTGACAAACATTTCCTGGATCAGAACATGTATTTTTGAGACTTTGGGGGTAGGTTATTAAGAGCAGACTAAAAAGCCATAAGTGCTCACAGTCACCTTGGTAAAAGTCCAAAATATCAATATTATACCACTCCAGTTCCCATAGCTCATATTTGTCTGACTACCTTGAGGGTTGCTGGAGAGTCACTACATCTTCCCAACTATGTATTGTCCATGTCCAGTTAGCTACAGGGAGAGGATTCTGTGAAGGATACTGTGAAGCAGTATAGTGAGCAGAACTAAAAATCAGTTTCTCACCCAGTTAAGTTGGAATTACTGGTATAAAGATAAACTGTTACTTGTCCAACATCATCTGCTTTCACTTGAAAGCCTGCCTTAGTGTGACCTGCAGGCAGCTGAATCTGCAAGGCAAAGTGGAGGAAAGAATGAGGAAAGTTGCACCATACCAGCAACAGGCTTTTGCCTAGAGTCATAAGTCCATTCTATCACTTACTTCATCTGGTAGCTCAATAATGGTGCCGGGTTTTGATGAATGTGTAATATTGAGAGTTATCACCAATGTCTCATTTAATGGAGCCCTGTATAGATGGAAGAGCCAAGTTAGACTGGTGCCTGAGTTCACTCTCACAGCCCTGAAACAATCTTTGTATCTGCTAATTCCTCAGAGCTGCAATGAACATAACAAACAGCCTGTACATAACAGTACCTACTTAATACTCAAAAGGACAGCAACTCTACATCTGTGAGCACTGTACTGATTTTCATCTGAACTAGTGACAGGCACTGAACAGTTACATGACCACATTTTGCCTCTGTTCCACACAAATAGCATAGCAAAACCATTACCTGAAGGGGAATAACAAGCTCAATGGTAGGATTTTGGGGACTATGAGAGGCACAAAGGATAGACAGTACTGAGGTAATAATAAGCAGAAATTACAGTAGTGATATAAGATAAAAAAGTAAAATAGTTCTGAACAGCTTTACCCAAGAACTCCTCTAAGCCTTTGTCCAGGAGGTCTGACTGCACAGCAGTACACTCTGTATCATAAGGTTCAAATGCCTGTAGCTGTCTGTGAACAAAATTGCTACATGCTTCTTTGCAGAAATAAGAGTTCCAAACTGTTGCACCCAGTTTTGCTACTTTCCTCTTCATCACACTTACTACACTATCACCTGGCTATTCCCTTCACATACACCTCTGCCCTTTGGAATCTTTAAGTGTAAGTATTTAACACTCCTTTCCTGGGAGAGGCCCAAGATAGCAAAAACACAGCTACAAAATGCATTGTACTGAACAGTGAGACTGGGTGCCTCAGTCCCTAATCTGGAGTCATTGCATTTCTTTGAAATGGTGAAATTTTTTGGTGAAATTTTGTGATCCTTCTAAGAAACGCAACTTTCTCTTCAGCACCATTTAAGAAGTGGAGGAACTCTACATATGGAAGGTAGTTCAATCAGCTAATACAAGGTAGACAGTATGAAATATCTTCTGCTCAATTTTCCATACAAATGGTATAGGATATTGCTGGAGACCAACTATATTTCAGATGCTGTGGCTCTATCTTGGTCCAAAGTAGTACTTAGTGATGTGATGGTCTAGAAGTGGCCAGTCACACTCAGATCAGGTTCTCTATATGCGCACTTAACTAAGTCTGTAGGGAAGTTTCTATCTATGGTGAAGTTCTACCTTCTTTTTCCTCCCAGTTTCATTTAAAAAAAAAAACAAACACCTACAAAACAAAGTTTCAATTCATCATTTTACCTCAGAGATATCGTGACATTTGTTGAACTCCCATTTTCTAACAAAACCACTTCAGGGACAGAGAGTACAGTGACTCCATCTGAGGGGGGAAAAGAAAATTGTCCATTACTATTTGCAGGGTAATATTAGAATAAATAAAAAAAATAAGTCAGTACTTCAAGGAGACTAAACAACTTAAAAGGAAAACTAAATAACCATCGAACATGTCACAAAGAAGCAATCTAAATATTTGAATTGCAGCAAAAGTTCACAAGAGGAAGCAATACAGTACTTTAAACTGACACTGCTTGTGATGTGATCCCAGTAACTTGGTAGGTATAGCGTTTAAAATTTAGTTTAAAATTACTGCTTGAGGTGCACGAGGTAACCAGATGTTCAAGCGAGATCCAAGCGTGACTCTTGAAGTATATGGCAAGTGTCCTGCGATAGCGGTCTGTGTGTGAGAACACCGCCTCAGCACAGCGTGCAAAGTCAAAGGTTGGTGTGGAAGCAGAGCTGAGGGAGGTGAGGTCTCCCCTGATGTGTGAGTTGGGGGGATGCCTCTGAGCCCCCTCACCCACCTCTCTGGGTCCGAGCAGGGACAGCCGAGCACTGACCGCCGTGCCCCAGCAGCACAAGTGCGAGGAGCAGAACAGGAGGGAAAAGCTGTCTCATCCTCATGGTGGATGAGCTGCACGAGAAAAAAAAAAAAAAAAAGGCTCTGTTCAGACCCTACAAACTTTGGGAGGGCACCAGCCCATTCGCAGCTCTAAAACAGCCCCATCCCAGCCCAAAAAGGCATTACTCTGTCAGTCCCCGTCTGCCAGACGGCCCTAGAGGTGCCTCCCCCTCCTCACGCAGCGCTCACCTTGCTCCCGCCACTCAGCCGCCCCCCCCCTCCCGGAACTACAAATCTCAGCAGCCACTGCACCCCCGCAGCCCGCCCTCCCGTAGCCGCGCGGCGCACGCTGGGACTTGTAGTCCTCGCCGCCCTCCCCTTAGGGGCGCGGTGAAGTGGAGCCATCCCACGCTTTAGGGTGCATTATACCTGGGTAGCAGCACCCGATAAAGCCCACATACCTCCTTCTAGCGCCGCAGCTCTGTCCCACGCAGCCCGGCTCTTCCCTTTTCAACTCCTCACGTGAGGCGATTGCCTATCGCCTCCTCGCCTCACGCTCCGCCGCGCGGTGTCACGCTGTGGCTGCTCCCGGGCGCCATCTTGGGCGCGTCCGAGCGAAGCGGGCGCAGGGCTGCGGGGGGGAGAGCGGCTGGTCGAAGGGTGCGCTGGCTGCTCGGGCTGTGTGTTGGTGCTTCGCTTAATGATGCGCAGGGTGCTGGGGAGGGCTGGGGAAAGGGGCGTTTTGTCACGCTCAAGATGGAGGTAGCACCCCGGCGCTGTGAGGGTGAGACATGTTTGGCCAGAGTCCTGAGGGCAGGGTCCAGGCTGTTCCCTCAGCGCTGTGAGGGCTCAGCACGCTGCGTGGTGCCCAGGAACTTTGTAGGCTGGTGTGTGGTGGGCGAGGTGAACGCAGTCCCGTCTGCCAGCAGCCATGGAGGGTGGGCCTGATTCTGTCTGCGTGCTGGGCATAGACCTGGGCACAACCTCCGTGAAGGCTGCCCTGCTGGTGGGGACAGAGCAAGGGCAGGTGGTGGCAGAGAGCTGCTCCAGAGAGACGCAGGCCTACACCAGCAGTGTGGAAGCTGGACTGCAGGTAAGGGCTGGAAGTGCTGCTGGTGGTTCCAGGATGGCTGCCTTGTAGTGGCTGGGTTGTGTTACTGGTTTATGGGGACTCTGGTGGCTTTCCTGGATTATTATTTTTTTAATTATTATTATTGTGCCTGGAGTGACAGATGGTTGCTGCATGTTTTTTGGGTATCTGAAATTAGAATTAATATGTTCTTTGCTTGGTCTTCAAGAAAGCCGAGTAAAGCTATTTTAAGAAGGACACAAACTGCTGGTTAAGTACTGAAGTGGTCAGGTTACAATGAGAATAGTACATTCGGTGTAATTCTTCAAGAACTTATTCCCTCTTTTTGTTCAAAATGGAGGCAGCTGCTGAGAACATTCCTTAAGTAGCACCATAGAGGTAAATGATTTGCCTCTACTTGAGCCTCTCACACATCTGAAATGGTATCTCAAGCTCAGTTTTCACTACGGAGACTCTGCAGGCCTGCAGAAAGTCTGATTCCGCTTTTGCTGTAGTCCCAGGTGTCACAAGACAACCTAAACCTGTTCTGTTAATCATCACCTTGTCTTTGATGCCAGTCAGCAAACAACAAGCACTTGCCAACTGGGAAGGTATTTTGCACTTCAATGTGAGATGGAATTCTAACTGGAAATTCCCCATGGAAATAACCAAAAGCATAAACACCTGTTAAAAGGCTTTATTTCTGTTGTGTTGGTCAATCAAATAAAGCATGAATCACAAACATGAACATAAAGTATCAGCATTCTCTAGGCTAGCATTGTGCTTCCAAGGGCTCATTTCTAAGCAGATATCAAACAGGCCAACCTTTTTCCCTACACCTACGTTTTCACAGCTAGAAGTTTATATACATACAAGAGCACACATCTGTGTATGTAGGCTGTATTTAAGTACTTTGGCTTGCAATCTCCATTCTGATCTGTCAAAGTAATCTGAGTCTTCATGACTTTTTTTTTATTAAAAAAAAAGGTATATTTGAGTATTATGTCTTAAGAAATTAAGAAATATTTGGCTTTCAGTGTAAGATGCTGTTATCTCATTCTCAATTCGCTAGTATTGGTTTTGGGGTTTTGTGGTTCATTTTGTATTCTTTCTTTCAATTTAGTAGTGAATATTATTCTAATGCGTGCTATTAAGCTAAATGAATTCTGTTCTTTGCTTCTGACTAGAGTAGCCTTGTTTAATAAATACAGTGAGTGAGTCCTAATGGCTCTGTGCTCAGTGTAATGTTTCATGATTACAGGGTATGGAGCAGGACAGCGGGAGGATAATAAGAGCCCTGAATGAATGCCTTGCTGCTCTACCTCAGCAACAGCTTCAAAGAGTCAGTCACATTGGCATTACAGGGCAAATGCATGGGATTGTGTTTTGGAAAAGAGATCAAGGTAACATTAATTTTTCGGCATTCCTGTGTAGAGTATTATGATGCAGAAAACAAATTCTGAGCGCTGAAGTGATCTGTAAGAAACTACTGCATGTTCATCATCTTCTGTGGGGATTTTGCTTTAATTACTGTCATTTCAGCTGCTGCCTATAAATAACCACATTGTTCACACAGATTGTTTGGAGGGTTTATGTGAGATCCCTGTGGAGCGAGTGCAGTTATAAATGTGAAGGTGGAATTGCCTATATGTGAATTGTTAATTGTTTGTCCATCATATGCTACCTGTATGGTCTGCTGCTGTTTGGAAGAACTTCTGGACCACATGGATTACTTTTTTTATGAGGGGAATGGCATTAAAAAGAGCAACACTTACCTACTTGTTCAGTACCTCAATACTTCTACTGCAGAAGCAGTATTAACGCTTCTGTGTGTGCCTTGGAAAGCAAGCTATACTTGGTCTGTATGTTAGGTTATGCACAGCAGTAGCTATCCAACAGGGAATATTGCTATGCTAATTTGAAATGCTGCTTGGCAGCACAGTAAGAGGAAAAACTGAAAATCAGTAATAGGAGATAAGCAGAGATTTATTGTAAATTGCAGAAGAAATTTTCCAAAAGTGCTGGTCACTGGCTATCAAAAGTTGCCAGTTTTAATTGCTTAAGGAGACACAGTGCTATTCATTACTGGTTGCAGTTTTACTTTAAATACTAAAATGATTGCAAAGAAAAAAAATCCAAAGGCTGATGGACTGAAGGAGCTGTTGCTTGCTTTCCAGCTGTCCCAAGGGCTGTATAACAAAACCTCTTGGGTTTGTGATAGACTGATAGGCACAGATTTTTGTGTGATATTGGTTAATATTTTATTTCCTAAAGCCACATGCTACTTTTGTTTCATTTATATCTTGTGAAAGAGGATGTTTGCTCCCATTTGTTTGAGTAGACTAAGTGAATTCATGCACTTTGGGATACAAATTAGATTTTTAATAGCATCCTTTAGGGTTAGATTTATGGTTAATAATATTTCTTTGGATCCATTTAGAACTGAGCATTTTGAAAATTGTTTCAAACAGATCTGATAGAACAGGGAATTAAGACAGCAAGAAAAGGCATCCATTTGCTTGTCATGTTTCCTGTAATATTTCCCACCTTTCATGGCTGCTTTTTACTCTGTGTGTATACTTTCAAAGCCCTATATCCAACCCAAGAAACCTTTTAAATCATATTTTGCTGGTCAGTTAAGCAGCCAGGTCTCTTCTGTGACCTGAAGGAGAAGTGGCACTGCACAACTTGAAAGCCTCCTGCCACACCAACAACAAAACCAAAAAAGCTGCTTTGGTTACAGGGCCAACTGAATACAGCATGTGGCCTGTCCTGACCCCACGTTGTAGCCCAGCATTATCTGGGAGAGCAGTAGTTGGCAGAGGCTGAAGCTGTGCTGTGGAGCATGCTACTAGCAGACATTACAGAGGCCAGTGCTGGAGCTCAGCCTCTGCTTGATTTGCTGCTCTGAGGTGTCTGTAATCTGCCTTAGGAGTGCTCATGGGGAGCAGGAAGCAGCACACTGCACTGGACCAATGCAGACGTTGCTGAGAAGGCTCTGTGCAGCCATGAGAAGTTGCCATAATTGAACTGATGCCTTTGCATAGAAACATCTGACAGCTTAACGAAAGGTGTAGTGATCTCTGTTGGAAAAATTAAAAAGTGCTAGACTGATAAAACTGAATTAAATCCTTCTCTGGATAGGGAGGTTCTTTGGTACTTTGCAGTCCATTGCCTAATACATGTAGAACTAGGTTTGCAATTGCACTGACTCAAAAGATGGATGAAACTGTGCACTGTCCATCATACAAATACTGTGCTCTTCAGTCACGATGTGGCAGTTCAGCTCTTGTATCTGAGAGCTGTCATATCTGCTTCTTACCTCTCAGCAGAAATGCAAAATTATTTGAGGATGATTGGAATTATGATGTTATGTAGGACGGAAACTGTGACTAATTAATTTGATTATAATCGCTATTGGGGTGACCTCACTGTTTCTGCTTTTTTTTCCCCATTGTATTTGACAAACTCAGAGGATCTGGAAGTAAAGAATGCCAGGCAGTGAATGCACTGCTGGTAATTACTGGACTTCTCAAACACTGTTATGTTTCAGGTTGCAAGTGGACGGAGGGAGGTACTGGCCCTATCTTTGAGCCAGAGGAAGTCAGTCATCTGGTTACTTGGCAAGATGGCCGCTGCAGTCCTGCCTTCCTCTCTTCTCTTCCTCTGCCACAGTCACATATCAGCTTGGCTACAGGATTTGGCTGTGCCACCATCTACTGGTATTTAAAGAAAAGGTATGTTGTTTCTCAAAAGGGCATCTGTGTTAGGCTGTTTCACTTACGGTTTCTCATCTTGAATTTATATGACAATTAGTATTCCTGTAGTATGTTAATACAACTATGAGCTCAGGGGCTTCTAATCATAATATTAAGTACTCAGAGAGTATTTGTAATGGCAGATTTTAATATAAACTGTGCAACTCAGCATGCAAGTCTTTCTGACCTCATTAAGAATATTGCAGATCTTTTTAATGAAAGGAAAAAATTTTGACTACATAGAAATAAAATAATTATAGTCCAGCCTACTGCTCAAAGAAAGTCTACTGAAATAGCTTGAACACTAACTTTGGTTGTGCACACTGTGGAAAGTACAAACGTGCCTAAAACAGTAACAGAGTTGATTTGGCTGGTTGCTGCCAGATGTTAAAGAAACAATCCCTAAATTAATTTCAGTTCCTTCCTTCTTTAGACACCACGATTCTTATGAAGTGTTACTGATGCTCTGCTTTATTGTGGCATTTTTGCAGAGGATGCAGTTTTTCACTTACAACATTGCACCAGAAGGATTTGGTCTTCAGTTTCATCTGCAGGAGGCTACATTTCTCAGAGATGATGTCTTCCTCATCCATAAGTTGAGGCTAAATAGAGACATATCTATTAGATGTTGTTTTCAGTCAACATGTGTTCAGTAGATACCTGGGATGTGACATGATCTTGCTTTAGAGCCGTGCAACTCACTAGCCCAGTCTTTGATTTGTTCCCGTTCTGTTTCACTACTTGGTACATATTCATTTGTGTAGTTTGTGAATCTTATAGCAACTGCAAGAATTCACTTGTTTTTCTCGAATGCTCTGGAATGTGACATTCTTGTACAAATAATTATTATCTTCCTTGTATGTTTTGCTGTATTGTTCCTTCAAACCTGGATGGCTCGTGCCACTGTCTCTATCTTCCATGAGGAAATACCAGCAGTGTTGCTGCTGTGGTAAGAGCTTGGAAAACAAATCCAATTAAAAACCTGCACAACAGCAAACAAGCAAAAACGAACTAACAGAAAACAATAACAGCCCACCAAATCCAATTTAATCACTGAGATACTGAGATTACTGTTTTGTTTTTAGGAGATGGGACTGCATACATCTGAAGTTCCTGTAGCACTGGACATAACCTTGCTTCCAAGGTCTAAAAGCTCCCTTTGCTGATTTTCTTTTTAAAATGTTTTGTTTAAAAGTCCAGACTTTCTGAAGTCTTACGATGCAGCTGGTACTATCCATGACTATGTGGTTGCCATGTTGTGTGACTTGAAGAAGCCACTCATGTCTGTCCAGAATGCCGCCAGCTGGGGATATTTTAATTCCAGAAACAAAAGCTGGAATACTGACATGTAAGTGCTAAGGTCAATCAGTGGGTTTCGTGCTTTGTGTCAGGTAAAGTGAACACCATTTTGGGCTCTAAGTATGAATGTGTTACAAGTAGAGTGATCTTACTTGTGGTGTGGCTTGTACTGAAGGACTGTTGGGTTTTCTCTTGTTCTGTATGGTGTCTGTGTCTATGTTATATAAAATTATGTATTTTATGGCACTGTATTTTTAGAAATACCTAAGACAGCATAGCTGAGAGATTTATCAGACTTGTTCTCTCTTTCTGTTGTGTGATGGTGGGATAGGATGAAGAAGTGAATGCTGCATCTAAGGCTGTGATGATAAAATACTGTTAATAATGGCAACTTCTTTCAACAGAGCTCCCTTGTAACTGCTGAGATTTATTGTTGATAATAGTTACAGTTTTCTAGGGGCTATGGGATGTCTTGCAGGAAACTGGTTTTATTTATTTATTTTTTCTGATTTGCTCTTTCAGGGCAAAGCCATAAGGCTGTGTGTATTTCAGGGCTTAGGTTAGGCCAGGATTCCAAGATCTTCTCCTGAAGGTAAATTAGTGCCTAATACCTTGGAAGAGTGTCAGAAACTTGCAGTTGGCATGCTGAACTCCCACTAACCTCCTGTTTTTGCTGTAGCAATATAGTGTGCCTTGCAGTTTATTTGCATAAGGAGTTTGTTGGACTTAACTCTTTGTGATTTGGTTTTGAACCACTAACTGCATGACAGCTCAAAATTCTGAAGAATTTGTTGAATTTGTTGAAGTTGAAGAATTTAAAGCTGAATTTTTATAATTGTCCCTTGACTGTGGAACTGCTTGTCTGTCTGACTTTTTATACAGGTATTGCTTCATCATCTCAGGTAATCAGATTGTATATAAAGAAAAGCTATTTGTTCTTCCAGACTATTCTTCTTCACTCAACCTGTTGAACTGGAACTGGACTGAGCTTTTTAAACAGATGAAAGCATCTGCAAATCCAGCAATTATATTTTTTTCCTGCAATGATATTGTTCTGATTGCAGATTGAAAAAGTCTGGCTTTCCTGTTCACTTGCTTCCAGAGGTGGGAGACCCTGGCAGTATTGCAGGCAGGACAATCAGTGCATGGCATGGAATACCCAAGGGAACAAAAGTGGGAATTGCTCTGGGAGACTTTCAGTGCTCCGTTTATTCCTGTCTGACTGAAAGAACTGATGCAGGTACGATCGTTTTGATATCTTGCTTGGTTTTCTCATTGTCCTCCTTCAGAGTAGGACTGGAAACACTGAATTTTTTCTTTTTTTCTCTAGTTCTCAATATCAGCACCTCTGCTCAGCTGACTATCTCAATGCCCTCGGGTTTCCAGCCTCCGGAGACACCGGATCCTTCCTCAGCTGTCACTTACTTTCCTTACTTTGATGGTGACTACTTGGCAGTGGCAGCATCACTTAATGGGGGCAATGTGCTAGCAACATTTGTGAACATGGTGGCACGGTGGACAGAAGAGCTAGGTAAGTTAATTTAAGGGTAATTAAGACTTACAATTGTGGTTGATCACGGTAAAGGGAAGCTATGGTAACGGAGCAAGCTCAGGGCTGTTTTGTCATACCGTATAAGGAACAAGGATGTAGGCCTGATCATGCTTCCTCAGTGTCTGGAATTTCCTTTGGAAGCTAGTGAATGTGTTTGGACAGTCATCTTTGGGCTCAACATTCACACTGCCTCTAGATTTGGGGGTTTCTTTTGTTTTAAGAACAGAAGAGAATGTTTTTTGCAAGTTGTTTTTTTTAAAGGAAAGGTCAATAAATTCTAGAACAGCCTCTGAGTTTGTGTGGCTGCAGTCCAAAAGAGTCCCTTGATTTTTGTCTGTTGCTTTTAATGCGTATTTTAGAGCAGTCTGATGGATTTTAAGATTTAAACTCATATTTATCATCTAAGTGCTTTAAATGTGGCGTTTATGATTGTGGTGTTTTGGTTTTCATTGTTGTTGTTTATTTTTTATAATCTCCTGGGTTCCACAGTGCAGAAATGAGCTCTGAAATAATTCTTTCAGTGAGTTCTTGAAGTGAACTCAGCATTTCAACTTCAGTGGCTGAGTTGTGTGTGAAGTCTGCCATTATTGCCTTTAAGAGGTGCTGTTTTCTGTGACTTTGCACAGTGTAGGCAGAGACAGATGGTGTATTACTAGAAACAGCCATTTCTTCAATCAGAAAAGGTTTTCTGGTATGACAGATAGTAGATAAGTTTGGATTGAGAGAACTGAGTTCATAATCCTGGAAAAACAATGACCTTTGATGCAAAGGAAGAAGGCATACAGCATTTTTCTGAACAAATAACTCAATATTCATTTTAAGTCTCCACGTGTAACGTATACTAAACCTCTTCAGAATAATAACGTGACATTTCTGATCTGCAGGATTTCAGATTCAAGAGTCTGCCATCTATGCAAAGATAATCAAAGCAGCCTTGGACCAAAACGACAGCCATCTCTCAGTCCACCCAACCATATTTGGAGAGAGACACACTCCTGAGCGGTTGGCTTCAGTGACCAGCATTGCTGCCTCTGAGCTCTCCCTGGGCCACGTAACCAGAGCTGTGTGCAGGGGCCTCATTGAAAACCTCTGTTCCATGCTGCCAGTGCAGCGCCTGCTGGAGACAGGAGTGCGGAGAGTTCTGGGGAGCGGCAGCGCTCTTGCCAGGAATGAGGTGCTGAGGCAGGAAGTGGAAAGGATTTTTCCGTTCCCTGTGGTTTATGGGAAAGATGTTGATGCTGCTGTGGGGGCTGCCATGGTGATGTTCCAGGGAAAATAAATTACTGTTTGGAATGGCCTGAGATGCGTCATCTTTTTTTAATTATTATTATTTTTGTTCTCGGCTGTTCAGTGTTTCCTTTCACTTCCTTGCTTTCTCTGGAGTTGCGTTCAGCCTGCCATCTCACTCATTACATTGAAAAAAAACAGCTTGCATTTAATGTCTGTTTGTGTGTGCACAGGGTCCTCCATTTCCTTGTTCTGTAATTCCTGCTTGTGAAATAAGTAATCATCACATTAAATTTGACTGAGTCACTAGGAAAGAGCCATTAACTTTCTCCGTAAAATGATACTTCATGCAAGGCTTCTTTTCCTGGTAGGAAGTGTGTCTGGGAGGACTGGGAGAAACAAGCAACTTAACATGATGCTTTCATTAGAGACTTTTTATTCTCAGGGTCTTTCGTAGTATACATACAGCATGACAACAGAGGAGGATCTCAATCTTATTTAAGAAGCTTGGTGGCACCAAGCCACCAAAGCTGTGGGATGCACACCCAATAAAAGGGAATAAATTCCTTCTTGTTTGTTACTCCTGCTTTTGATCAGCTTTAGCACATTCTGATGAGCAGAATCACAGAAACACCAAAGTTGGAAAAGACCTACAAGAAGGTCCCTGTGGAGGTAGAATATGTCACTGACAACTATTGCAGAAAGTAATGGAGTGGCTGCTGGTAAGAAAGAAGAAACATCTTCACAGGAAACAGAAATCAAGTAGGCTGATGGGGCGACATCAATGCTCAGAAAATGCCAGAGAGCTCCCAAAGTGCACACATGAGAACACGGCAAAACTGAGAAGAGTTGATGCTGGAAGTGGGAGAAGGAACACTTAGCAAAAGCAGGAAGCTGGAGACTAAGGGAGACCTCCATGTAGTTTTCTTACTAAGCTCTGCGCTGAAAATAATGAAGGAGTTAATCATAATGCTGAAGCAGATGCTTAGCTCAGCGAAGTTCCAGAATGACCAGCCAAGAACCTGGTTTATTGGTAATCTGTATTTATGTATTAATGCACAGGCATTATATTTTATTTGTATATGATTCCACAGGGTATTTTAAGTAGTGTAATTAGTTTGCTGTTGAATAGACAAATATGTTATTCTTTTATATATGGATAGATGGTAGGACTAGAAAGATCTCTTATGCTCTCTAATTTCATTCAATAATTTAATTATCTAGCTCCATAGCTCCAGAGCTGGAACTGGAGGTTTTTTCTGGCCTGACAGCTACAGCCTAGTGACTTAACCTGGAAAAACTCTCTAGGCTGGTCTGATGGAAAGATCTTATATGAGTGGTACATTTAGCAATATTTGACACAGTTCTTCATTTCTAAGGGTATTAGATCCATTTTTGATTCAATTGTTCTGTTGCTATTGCTGTTGTTTTCCTGATGACAACACTATTTGAAAACTTACTGTTCCATATGTGTTATTTAAATAAAGCATAATAGGAATGTGGAATGATAGAATGTCTGTAGGACTTTCAGTTGGGTTCTCCCTCCACTCTCTTCAGAATCAGCTTGTATGTGAAATACTCTATGGGGCTTTGCTGCAGCCACTCAAGAGGGCCCAGAAAGATGAATAATCTCAGAGAAAAGCTGTGGCATATTTTACAAAGTTTTGTGAAGTGAAATGAAGCTGTGAGCTGCAGGAACAATTGCTGTTTGATGGTTTGGGCTTTTTGCAAGCTTGAGTGTATTTACGAAGAGGAAATCTGTAGAAGAATATCCATTACTAAATGCAATTAGTGGGGGAAAAACAACAGCAACTTGCTGTGATTCTTGTAAAGAGCTTTGCTGAACTCCTGGGAATAGAAGCTACTGATGCTTCTGGTTCCAGAACTGTTCTTAATGGTTTTATTACTCTATTCCCTCTTCTACTGAACTTCCCTTGATTCTAAAAAAAATTAAAATCATCTGCACATAGAACGATTGAACGATAGAAGGAACATAGACAAATGGAGTGGAGAAGCAAACTCTGAAGTCTTTGCAGCCCAGGCACCTAGGAGGAGGAATCTCTGGCACCAAATTCCTGTAGAACAGAGGACGTTTACTGAGACTATTTTGCAGAAGACAGGATTTTTTTGCAACATTCGTAAGTTCTGTACATGTATTTGAGTAGTATGCTTGCTAGTTATTTGTAAGCACTCTATTATTTAAGTTGTGATTCAGTTAGACATTGTAAAAAAGTGCTTCCTTGTTTATCGGATCAAGCTTTAATCACATGGGCTTCAAGAGTTAGGTGGGTTACGTGTTTTTCCAGGAGATGTATATTTCTTTCAAGAATATTTCTATAGAATTTGAATGTTGTTTTTTTTTTTTTTTTCCAAATTCAAACTGAAAAGGAAATGCAGCTTTGTCTGCATTATCAGAGATACTGACAGTGGGCATTGGAAATAGAAGCACATGCAGTAACTGAGACAGGTTTGAGTAAATTGGCAGGAAGACAAGATTAAGGCTGTTCTGCTTATTCTAATGTTATAGATATTCTGTGTAAATTACATGATTCCATTTTGCATAGCCATCTCCCTGATGCTTTTGGCTTGATTCACGTTGATTTAAGTGAGACTAAAATTAAGAATCATACATGTCTGTATTCCTACTATATTTTTTTCCTTTTTTTTTTTTTATAAAAGTATGTTTGTAACTTTTTACTTACTGTGCTTGTTCTTCTGTACTTCTGGTATCATGTTCCAAGGGAGAATATTTTTCTATAGAGAACTTCTTACTTACAGAACAGTTAACAAAAAACGGTTATTCTTTCAGGGTGATTGGGCACAGGAACACAGAAAACTTGAAAGGTGAGCCCAGAAGACTCAGCAATTTGAATTGCAGTCTTTAGTGTTTCATCTGTACTTTGCTGTTTTGCTTCCAGTTACCCTAAATGTGCAAATTGATGTTTTATTTCCATGTATGTTATAGAAAATGGTAGGAAATGCAAATGCCTGACAAGTCTCTTTCCCATCCTGCTTGGAAAGGAAAAAAGTAAGTGATTCTTAGTGTAAATATTATCTCATGCCATGCATGAGTTACAGTGCAGCTTTACTGTGCGTTGTAGGTTTGCAGATGATCCCTCAGAAGATTTTCATGAAGAGAAACAGCCTTAAAGCTTATTTATGTTGAATTCAAACTGAATGTACAGAGATAATTGTTAATGACTGGTATTGGTGTATAATTGAAAGCCTTTTGAAGATTTTGTAATGCTTATGTTCATAGCTGTAAGATTTTGTAGCAATCTAGAATTGTAGAATTTGATTCTAAAGCTATCCAGTTCCCTCTTAAAGCCAGCTATGCAGTAGCTCTGGTACGATGTATTCCTGTCTCCACTGGATTTCCAGAGTATTTCACATTCAGTGATGTGAACACTAACATTTCATTGGTCAAAGCAGTTTGATAAGAAAGACAAAATCCCTGTTCTACCTTTAGTATGGCATATTTGTTAACTTGTGTCAAGCTCTTTGTGGTTGTAAATCAGACAAGATCAAACCTGTGGTCTTACAGTCATCTTTTATCTGCGGTAAACTTTTCTATTTCCTAATTTGTGTTTGAGGCGACACCAATGTCACAAGAGCTACAAGCCCCAGTTTTCATCTAGCACTGCTGTAACCCTGGTAAAGCCACTAAGTGATACCCTTCCAAAAACAGGAAGCCCTCTCTGCTCAAGATCATTAAGATATGATTACAGCACAAGATATCAGGCTTTTATCACAGGCTTGATGTACTCCTGAAAATATATTGTGGCACAAATCAGTTAGAAAGCAGAACATAAATGCAGAGATTATTTGTGGTCTGAAGTTCAGGCCTTGACAGACATTGGATTTTAAGCAGAAGTGACTGAGTTTGCAGTGAGGTGGCTGGCAAGCTCAGGTACACTCTGGTTTGCTTTCTTTATTCTGAAATGAATGGGGCAGTGGAGACAGTAAAAAAAAAAACAAAACAGCATAGGGATATCAACCTACTAAACTGCCTGAACTCTAAGCATAGTGAATATGTGTCCTGTTTCATTTCTGAGATGAGACAAATCAATTAAATCCTGGCTGTTTCTGGAGCACAATCCTAGACAAAAAGGGACTTGTGGCACTCTGAAATGCTGACCTGAAGTGTTTGTGTGGTTTGTTGCAGGCTGCATGTTCATCATGTCTTCCATTCTTGAGAAGATGAAGAAATTTGGCAGTTCTGACATAGAAGAATCTGAAGTGACAGATGAACACACGGATGGGGAAGACTCTGCATTGGAAGCACCTGACAACCTGCAGGGTACATTCAGCAGCAAGGTGCAGCCATCCAGAAGCAATATCTTTGCAAGACGTGGACGATTTGTGATGGGGGATAGTGACAAAGACATGGCTCCAATGGATTCCTTTTACCAGATGGATCACCTGATGGCACCTTCTGTCATCAAATTTCATGCCAATATGGAGAGGGGGAAACTTCACAAGTAAGTTTGCCTTTTAAAATGTGGTTGAAATGAGTACATTTTGGCAGTCGTAGGCTGTGCTACTTAGAGCAGTATTTACTGTCTGCACATTTGCGTGCCTGTCTTCTCAGTTTTGCTATTTTTGGTGCCTAAAGGAGTATTTTGCTTGAAATTGATACTAGCTCTCATCACTTCGCATCTCTAAAAATCCAGCCCATGAATCTTAATGATAAGATTTAGTTTGCACACTTGAAACTGCTCAGTAAATGGACATTGCTCAGAATAAGAACCTGGTACTGCCTGGATCCCACACCTGCAGTTAGACTGCTGTACTTCAATGCAACGTGAAGTCTTGCTTTCAACATTTCAGCAGCAAACTCCTAATTTTATCAGAACAGTTGCTATCAGATGTTATTAATCTTGTACATTTTGGAGATCCATCTGTGCTCATCATTGTACTTGCTATTTTACACAAGCAGATGAAAAATAGTTGTGTGGTAGTTTATAAAAAGCCTGCTAAATGCCTGGTTTCAGTAACTAAAATTTACCCTGTTAGGCTCCTGTCAACAGATTCCATCACAGGCTGCTCTGAAAAAGCTTTCAAATTTTATGACCGCAGAAGGATCTTTGATGCTGTAGCCCAAGGCAACACAAAGGACCTGGATGACCTGCTGCTCTATCTTAACAGGACCTTGAAGCATCTCACAGATGATGAATTCAAAGGTATCACATAATGGCACATACCTAAAGATGCCCTTGTCTTCTTCCAAGACTACTCCAGAGACGGGTAACAGGGTGGGGGGAATAAAAACTTCCTGCACAAAACAGCATTGTTAAATGTAAACTAGCTGTAGAGAGTTCCTCTGATAGCCTGTAGTTCCTACTGATTAGGCAGTCCATTGATTGCAAGGCATGGGAGAATGCAGAAAATTGATGTTTTCTGTGGAACTTTGGCTGGATTTTCTTGTCTTTTCAAAAGAACCACATTAATTCTTGCATGCTTGGGAGTAGATGATGAGTTCCTAGACATTTCTGTGTAGCTGTAATTTTGTTCATTATAGAACCAGAAACTGGGAAAACCTGCTTACTGAAAGCCATGCTGAATCTACATGATGGGAAAAATGATACCATTCCCTTGCTGCTGGATATTGCAAAGAAAACGGGAACTCTGAAAGAGTTTGTGAATGCAGAATATACTGACAACTACTACAAGGGTAAGAAAACAGAGAATACAGTTGAAATAGTGAATACTCTTGCTGATAAGACTGGAAATAGGGCTAAGCAGGGCTCTCAGTCTTCTGTGTGAGGTGTCATGCTTGAGGAGGGAGTGCCCCAAAGTTGCAGTGTGTGATTAACAACCAGTGCATTCATGCTAGATCTGTCTTATTAGGCAGGTGCAATATTCCACCCTTTGTGACAGAGTGATTTAACAGCAAGTTCCAGGGGCTTCCATTTGCAGTTTGTGCCATCTTTTTTTGTTTAATTCTACAGTTTTGTAAGTCTACAGATCTCTCAGTTCCACCATCTAATGTGAAGCTGAATGAATTGTGCTGCTCTCAGTTTGTGTTAAAAGTTGAAGATTTCTTTCTGTCTCTGTAGGCCAGACTGCACTCCACATTGCCATTGAGAGAAGGAACATGTACCTGGTTAAACTCTTGGTCCAGAATGGAGCAGATGTTCATGCAAGAGCATGTGGGGAGTTCTTCAGGAAAATCAAAGGGAAACCTGGTTTTTATTTTGGTAGGATTAAGCACATTATGAGCTTGATTGAATGAGTTATCCTAGCATTATCCCAACTGAAAGATGTTAAATAATCCTGTTTATTTGAGACTGGAGGCTTGAAAGTCATAAATGGTTTGATCCATGTCTTATTCCAGATATTTACTTCCCAAATATGAGTTCATAAAGAAACACAGTAGTTGATGATGTTCATTGCCAGCTTGCTGTCTCCATCCTTTTATTTTTTGAGCACTTCTTTTTTGAGAGATTGTAACCTTCCACCACCCTTTATTTTGTGTTTTTGTGAGCAGCCATGTTTCTCTAGTGCAGTTAAGCTGAAGAAAATATGATAGCTGTTTGAATCCCAAGAGTTAAACAGAGAAATCGTCCTCTTCTCACAGTGAAAGCTGAAAATAATGTGGTCTCTTTTCTGTTTATGCATGTGTACTAGGCATTCTGACCACTCATTTCTTATCCATAGGAGAGCTGCCCCTGTCTCTGGCTGCCTGCACCAATCAGCTCTGCATTGTGAAATTCCTCCTTGAGAACCCCTACCAGGCTGCTGATATTGCTGCTGAGGACTCCATGGGCAATATGGTCCTGCATACTCTGGTGGAGATTGCAGATAACACTAAGGATAATACCAAGTTTGTTACCAAGATGTACAATAACATATTGATCCTTGGTGCCAAAATAAATCCTATCCTGAAGTTGGAAGAACTCACCAACAAAAAAGGGCTGACTCCATTAACATTGGCAGCCAAAACAGGGAAGATAGGGGTAGGTGAGCAAATGTGTCCAGCTGTCCTTTACTGTGTTATGTGATGCAGAGTACAGGTGGAACATTTACGCAGGATAGATTTTATCACTGCTTATTGCTAAGTCCTTTCTATTAACAGAAATTAATATTGCAGTCCAACATGCAAAACTGCACAGTGCTTAATGCCTTTGAGAAGTGTGTGTGCATGCATGCATCTGCCCAGGTGGCACTACATACATACTAGCAGTATATAAGACAGCCCAGGTGGAAACAGAAAGTGGGTTTCTGCTATCTTCTGAACAAGAGGCCTGTACTTTTGATTGATGGATGGAACTCACCATCTGACAGTCTCCATTCATCATGACTGTATACTCAGATGTATAACAAATATCTCTGTATTTCTCTGGTAGGTTTGAAACATGGATAATTGCAAATTGTATGTAGTAGAAAGTAATGAAATGAACTTTATTCTACATCCGCGTTTTCCATCCACCAGCATACAGTGAGAAAATTAATTTTTTTTAATTCAGACTTCAATCTCTTTCAGTCCAGTCCAGTGAATTAACTTCAGCATGGTTAAACTGTGTTAATCTAAATAAAAGTATTCATCTGTTATGAAGATACTGAGGAACTAGAACTGTCAGCACTGAAATGCTGGTTGTGTTGTTCTTTTCAATTAGATTTTCGCTTACATCCTCAGACGAGAGATCAAAGATCCTGAGTGCAGACACTTGTCAAGGAAGTTCACTGAATGGGCTTATGGACCTGTCCACTCATCTCTTTATGACCTGTCCTGCATAGACACATGTGAGAAAAATTCAGTGCTTGAAATTATTGCCTACAGTAGTGAAACACCAGTAAGTATGTACTTCCTTGATGTTTATTTGCAGACTGGGGACTGCTGGAGAAGAGCTTTGTGTTCTACACAGTACATCTTTTGTGTCATTTCTGTAAAACAACAACTTGTATTAGAGGAGGCATTTGCTAAAATTGAGCATCACTTGCTATTTTTAAAGCCCAGTGCATACGGAACCTGTCAAGGTTCTCCTCTTTATCTTTCCACTCAGAATCGTCACGAGATGCTGCTGGTAGAACCCCTTAACAGGCTGCTGCAAGACAAGTGGGACCGGTTTGTCAAGCACTTATTTTACTTCAACTTCTTCGTATATGCAATTCATATCAGCATCCTGACTACGGCTGCCTACTACAGACCTGTGCAGAAGGGGGAAAATGTATGTTGTCACTCTCAGTGCGTGATATCCCAGAGCAGCCTCCCATTTGCATGTGTGCTCCTAATGTCAGTTTTCTTCCTGTCCTGAAGGTGGGAGGGAGACTTTGATCTCACTTGCTTTTCAGGCAAGACTTTGCACCCTTGGTGCAGCACATTCAGAAATTTAGCTTCTTATCTCAGAAATGTAATTGTTTTCAGCTACTGGCAAGGACAGGTCTTTCCTATCTCTAGTTCTGCTGAATATCTCTGTGTTCTGTTTTACACAGCCTCCCTTCACTTTTGGTCACAGCACTGGGGAATATTTTCGAGTGACTGGAGAGATACTGAGCGTACTGGGAGGACTGTATTTTTTTTTCAGAGGGGTAAGATACTTGAAACTTTTCTTTTTTGCTGTAAGTGCAAGTGAGAACCAAACCTGCCTTTTGAATTCATTGCCAAGATAATCCATGTTTTAATCTAGAGCTGCAAAGCTTTTTCTTTGCCCTGGTCAGAAGATATCAGGTTGCTAACAAGCCCTTTGTCTAAGGTACAGTTTTATCTATTGTGCAAAGAGAGACCTAAGAAGTCAATGAGCATCTAAACAGTTATGTTGGCCAAAATGTAAGAATGGAGTATTGCAAGTAGCCAAACCTGCATTTAAATTTAGCTGTCCTAGTTCAAAGTCAGTCACCTTCCTCTTGGCAACCAATGGGGAATATACAGTGATTCACAGATCCTCAGACCAGTAGCTGAATAGACTGGAGTCACCAAAAGAGGTGAGGCCCAAGATGTAAGGGGAATGTTGTGTTACCAAAGTGTCTCCCTTGCAACAGTGTTCTTTTAACTGTTCTTGCCAGATGTTGGATGGGTACCAGCTCCCTGGTATAGAAACCAATGCTTAGCTGATGTATTCACTTGGGATATTTACTCTCTCCTTGGATGCAAAGTTAGTCTTCATTCTGTTTTTTTTCTTTCTTTCTTTCAGATACAGTATTTTGTGCAGAGGCGCCCATCATTGAAGACACTGATAGTTGACAGTTACAGTGAAGTTCTTTTGTAAGTGCCTGTGTCTGTGATTGTATCTCAGCATGAAGCGGGTGACTGTGAGATCTGTTGCTTTGGCTTAAACCACTTCTAATTGGTAGACACCTTACAAAATACTTGCCAGTGGCTATTGTAGCACTTAAACAAGTGTGTCTGGATCAGTAATGTGGAGGTAAAGCAGATTAAGCATTTAGAAATGTAGTGACTGCATCATGCAGCTGAGTTAGGAATAGATCTCCAAGTTGGACTTGCAGTGCAGTATGTGCACTGGTTGTGCAGACAACCTCCCATTCCAGAGGGAAACTTTCATTTGGGCCCTTTGTTTTCTTAGAGGAGGTGCAGCTAAAATGGGCAATTTCATGTGTCTGTGGAAGGATAGGATGTGTTATAGAAATGAATGTCATCAAGGACTTTTATTCCCTTCAGTCAGAATGAAGAGCAAGAGTATATGAAAGTTTGTATGTGGGGAAACTGAAGAGCTTGCAAAGGAAACTGTAGGACTGGAGAAGGAAAAGAATGAATGGAAAAGAAAGGAGGGGTCTGCCAAGGCTTCTGTGCATTTAGTATGCTGTATATCTCATGTTTCTCCTGTGTTCATACCACCTATGACTGTCTCAGCACTCTGGATTCAGAACATACTTGTCTTTCAGCTTTGTTCACTCTTTGCTCCTCCTGAGCTCTGTGGTGCTGTACTTCTGTGGCCAGGAACTGTATGTGGCTTCCATGGTCTTCTCCTTGGCTCTGGGCTGGGCTAACATGCTATACTACACCCGTGGCTTCCAGCAGATGGGCATTTACTCTGTCATGATTGCAAAGGTCAGTACAGTGAGGGGGTGGTGAAGCCAGCAGAGTGCTCACAAGAGGAAACTGCCACCAGTGCCTGGGTTTCTAGGAGTGGAGTCACCAGGTGCTTTCGTGATGTCGTTGGAAAGCCCGTCAGACAACCACACTCAACTTTGATTTTCTGAGCAAAGAGATAGACTTTTTAAGTCATAGAAAAAAGCACCTGTTCCACATCCATGCATTTTATAGCAGTCAATACCTTCTGTTACTGTTGTGCTTTGAAGTAACTCTACAGTTGGATTGACATAGGTGTGTCTATGTTGACTGAGAACATTAGAGAGCTCATCTGGTGTGAAATAGCAGGACTTTCTGCCAGCTGGAAATTTCCTTAAGAATAGTTTGCATGTTACCAAACAGAGCAGTTAAGTGGGAGGCAGTAACTGCTACTAAACCTCTGTATGATGTAGCCAGCTAGTCCAAGAGGGGAAGAAAGAGGCAATTATCTTAATGTGATTTATACTCACAAAGACGAAACTATTTGTTAAGTGTGTGTCTTGCACACATGTGTAAACTATTGCTTGAATAACAGAGGAAAATGTTTTCTGTATTAAAGTTGATCATCTTGGCAGGATGAACAACAGTTTAATGCATGAGCAGCCACTTCACAGCAGTTGCCTTCTGGAACTGAAGGAATATTTTCGACCAACTTTTGTTACAGTTTATGTTCAAGGTTTTGCAATAGAAAAATGTTCCATTTCTATGTTACAGATGATCCTAAGAGACTTATGTCGCTTCATGTTTGTCTATCTAGTATTCCTCTTGGGATTTTCCACAGGTAATATCAAACTTGGAGTTGTTTTTGTTTGTTTTTTTTTTTGTTATCTCTAAGAATCTCAGAAAATTGTATTTTTCAGTTGAATTAGAATTTTTGTTTTCAAAGAAAAACTAACAAATCAATCTTGTTACAAAAGTCTTTTCAGAATAACAGCTATGTGTATGACTGCTTTTCATGCCTGGGTCTCAGACTGCTTAACAAAGCTGAATGGATAAACAATCATCCTGTTCTACGTAGACAAACCTGAGACAACACTTACTGAAACGTGACAGTTATGGGGGACTATTTTATAGAGCAATTTCATTGGGGACGAGGTGCCATGAAAATATTTTGTCTTATCTGATACTTTCATGCTCATTTTTATTGCTTGCAATAGATTTATGTTCTCAAATTATATTTTCATCTTCTATGTGATTCTTCTTTTGCTACAGCTGTGGTGACTTTAATTGAAGATGACAATGAGGGGCAGGACACAAATAGCTCTGAATATGCCCGATGCAGCCATACAAAGCGAGGCCGCACATCCTATAACAGTCTGTATTATACCTGCTTGGAACTCTTCAAGTTCACTATTGGGATGGGAGACCTGGAGTTTACAGAGAACTACAGGTTCAAGTCCGTGTTTGTCATCCTTCTGGTTCTCTATGTCATCCTTACGTACATCCTCCTGCTCAATATGCTTATTGCACTGATGGGAGAAACTGTGAGCAAAATTGCACAGGAGAGCAAGAGCATCTGGAAACTCCAGGTATCTTGGTTCTGTGAGGCTATCCAAGATGGAGGTTGTGGAGAATTTAAATGTCGTGCTAACAGAGGTGATGTTTCATGGATGGGTCTGATGCATGCTTTAAGGTGGTGATAACAATAAAAGTTCAAGATTTATTTTTCTAATTAAAGGCAGAATTCAGAACAGCAGGTTCTTAGTGGTCTGCTTTGTTTTCCCTGTTAGAGAGCCATCACAATCTTGGATATTGAAAACAGCTACTTGAACTGTTTGAGGCGCTCGTTCCGATCTGGAAAGCAAGTCTTGGTGGGGATCACACCTGATGGCCAAGATGATTACAGATGGTGCTTTAGGTAACCTGCTTGTATATCAAATGAGCAATCTTTTATAGACAAACAGCATTAAGTATTTGATAATGGATAATGGGAAGAAGAACTGTCCCCTTGGAGCTCTCCTCCAACAAGTGCCATACTACAGTAGTCAATTTGATCTATTTTCTGGGTCAGACCTTTGGCTTGAGAGTTGGCAGTAGGTGATATAAACTCATCCTGGGTTTCTCTCTTAATGCTTAGAATAGATATTCTTTTTGTTGTTCTTTCCCCAGAGTTGATGAAGTGAACTGGTCCACGTGGAATACTAATTTGGGCATAATCAACGAAGATCCTGGGTGCTCTGGGGACCTCAAACGAAATCCCAGTTACTCTATTAAGCCTGGTAGAGGTGAGGGTTTCAGGGACCTAGATGCTAATGATAGAAGCAGTACAGATTGTTTGTTAGAGGGCAGTCTGTTTATACATTTAAGTATAATGATAGAAGCTAAGTTTATGTCTTTTTCAATCAACAACAAAATGTAGAGGACTCTGTGGGCTTATTATTCGCATAGCAGTTTTATTCTCTGGAAGAAAAGCACTATGGATTCAGCATTCTGACTGTTGATTTTATAAGGCAGATAATATGTGCAAATCCTGAAGGCTTGTGACAGTGTATGCTGGCAACCACATAGCCAAAAAGTTACTTTGGAGGCCACAAGTATGGCTTCTTCAGGAAGCTTCCTTGGAAGTCCAGCATCCAGCACAGAGTTGTTTAACTCTAAGACAATCTGCTGCGCTTGCCAGCTGAAGTATGGAAAACAGAATGTGGAAAAAATTCCACTAAGCCCTTTCTTCCTGCTTCTTTCTTCCATCAGCTTCCTGTTCAAACTACTTGTATATTTCTGTTTGTGTGGAGAAGAAATTAACCATTTTTTTCCTTTTTAGTTTCAGGGAAAAACTGGAAAACTTTGGTTCCGCTTTTAAGAGATGGAAGCAGGAGAGAGGAAACACAAAAACTTCCAGAAGAAATCAAACTAAAACCTATTTTGGAACCTTATTATGAGCCAGAGGATTGTGAGACGTTGAAGGAATCTCTTCCAAAGTCAGTCTGATTTTCTTTTGTTTTTAAGAAGAAGGCTAATTGTTTGGGTTGGTTCTTACAAGGAGGACAATTAAAACACTTCCTTCAGAAGAAGAGGGATTTATGGAAAAAGACCAAAGAAGTTAGGAAATGACTGTGTGCAAGGATTCATTAAGTATCCTGAATAAACTACTTGTTGTTTAAACTCATGTCTTCATGGTTATTTTTAATACAAATCTGAAAGAAAGTAGGTACTTACTGCTTGGTTTTTATTTACTTGGCTAGATATTTGCATGTAGACTGACTTACAAAGTGTTAGACAATTCTTATAGTGTGGCGTGGGTTTGCTTTCTTTTGCTTTGCTTTACATTAAATACACTGAGAATTTCCTACAATTCAGAGCTGTCAGTAAGGTAGTGAGCTCTTTTTTGCTGCAGATTTTTTCCCATTCTTCACTTCTTTTACTCTTTGTAAGTGCTCTCATGCATTTTTGAGGTCTGAGCTGACATTCTCATCCTTAGCTTACAGGTCCTTCACTAAGTTTTGCAGATTGGTGCAAGTGGCCAGTAAAGGTGAATATTCCATTGATAATATGAAAATAACAAAAAGGCCTATAGAGAAAAGGTTATCACTTGCCACCTATGTCTGCTTTTAGATTCTTTTAACAAGTGTTTGTCTGAGCAGCGACAGGCCCTGATTTCCTGACTTTCCAGCCTTGAAAACCCACTAGCTGTGTTATAATGGAAATGGATAAGAGCAGTAAAAATTACCAAGAGACCAAAGGTAGGTTGCTGTGAAGAATGTTTCTTGGAAAGGAGATAAATGGGGACACAGTGAAAGAATGGTAAGTAATGAATCATCTAAAGATGTGGTTAGCCTTTCTCATAACACAAGAACAAATACACTGTGAAATTGTAAAGGTTGGGTAGTCAAAATGAACGAAATGTTTCTCTTACAGAGTCTGAGTAAACTCCAGAATATACAGTTACTGTTACTGAGGCTGAAGGCTTAACGAGATCCCAAAATTGACATTTATTTAGATAACAGGTGAACTTTGCATAAAGTAAGAGAGAGTGGCTATATAGACTGTATGTTTCAAAGGTCAGATGTATAATAATGAATAACAGTAATTATTTTGAAATCAAAGTTTTTTTTGTTCTTGACTTTAACAGCAATGAAAGGAAAGTAGCTGGTCAGAAAGGAAGGATGAGAAAATCTGTGATAAAGATCTGACCCAGTGCTGGACCTGTGCAGCTGTGATGGGCAAGAAAAGGTAAATTACCTTCTTTCCTTTCTGTGTATCACTGAAACACATATATATACATAACAGCCTGTAATATGCAAATACAGAATGAATATACAAGTATCCTTAAGCCAACAAGTTTCAGTTTGAGCTTGTGTGTTGTTTCTGTGGCTGTGTTCAAAGTGCATCTGTTCTGAAGTGCTATGCTAGATAGATGAGTAGCAAATTATTGAGAACATTGGAATTCAGAGAGAAAGTTGTGCCAGCCTTTGAAAGGTAATTTTCATCAGTACATCTAAATTTTTTTTCTGCAGCAGTGCAAAATGGAGGCATTCACTGCTCTTAAAAAGAAACAATTGTGTTTACTGACAGACTTTTCTCTGCTGCTAACACTGCCAGATGAACTCTATGTTGTTTCTATTGTTCGTTCTTTTACTGAGGTCAGGACTTCTCTCAGTGCTGGTTTCCCATAGGCTACTGTAGATAGACTTCAGTGAAGTTTGCAAGCATCCAGCTTATTTGAAATAGTAGCACCATCTAGAGGGCTGTTAATTCTTGATCCTTCTGTTAATCAAATCACTCAGGACACACCCAGGACAAATGCTATTTTTTTCATAGAGTTTTTCAGAATACAGCCACAGAAACTTGCCAAAGAATTCGAAATAATTATTTAACAAAAATCAAAATGTAAACAAGCTTTGAATCTCACGATTAGGGAGACTACAAAAGGTGTTCAAAGTAGGGATGTTGAATGTCATACTATTCTCAAGGTGTATCTCTGAACTCCTGTTAGCAGTTTCTAGAGGTTCCAGTCAAGACTTCCTTATGCTCCTTACTGAATATACTAAGAGACCGTCTGTATGTGAAACAAGTGCAGCTAAGTAAACAAGACAGGCTGAGGCAGTGAAACTCCAGCCATTAATAATAAATATAGAAAGGGGCCAACCAGAAAAACAGAGGTCATTGTCTCCATGCCTTTATGTGCCAAAACAAATTTATTCTTCAATGCACACAGGGAACGTAATGTAGCTGGAAAGCATTTATGAAGTTTCTGTATTCTCTGTGAGGGATCCATTTGTCATAATTATCTGCCTGTGTGGAGACCTACTCTTAGTGGTTAAATTCCACCTTGATTTATATCAAGTGCCTACCAGAAGGATTTATTCACTTCCGTGGGTAACCTAAACAGAAGGTTGGTCTGTGCCTTCCTGTCCTTTTCTGCTCCAGCAAGATTACAGGGAGTGCAGGGGACTTGTTAATAAAAAAGAAATTGAAATGCAGAGTGAAAACACTCATCTATATAATGAAAATGTATATGTCATGTGTTTGTGGGATAGAGTGATGCTGGTGGTCTTTTGGTTGCTTTTTTTTTTTTTTTTAAACCCTTAGCCCTCTTTTGGAAGCAAAAAAAGAAAATTTTCATTTTTCTCAAGTAAGTTATTACTAACCTATCAGAATTTCTAGCTATATCACCACTTAGTTACTGCTGCAGGCAAGAGTTTGTTTCCCACAGCTGGGGCAATATAGCTTAGCAGGGTCTCTAACCTGGTGTCACATTTATTTAGAGTAAGCTAACCATGGCTCTGCCACAGTTTTCTTCCTTCATCTTCATTCCATCTAAATGCACAGAAGTGCTTTGAAAATGAAGGTGCATCTCTGTTAAGGCAGACTGGATGGAATGCCTACAGGGGACACGCTGCTTCTGAAGAGACAAGGAGCACAAAGCCTTAGTGGAGGGCTGTGACTAACCCCCAGGAAAGAGGGGTGGCTTGTCAGGAAGTGTTTGCTCTTTAAGAACAGCTTTGCTAGGACCAGACACTGCTGTTGGTACTGCTAGACAATTCCACTGGCTGACAAGAAGCATGGCTTTACAATAAATCAGTCTTTATTTCTATTTTTGGGGTGGAGGTTCAGCTCTATGCTGGCTCAAAAACAAAGGAAATGGAGTTGATGTGCTCACCTCATCTGTCTGTGAGTGACTGTAATTAGCAGTAAGTGTAAATAATGAGTGTAAATGTGCGTATGATGGGAGACAGCAAGAAGTGAGTTCATCTAAGGTGAGTTGGGCTTCACTTTACTGGGAATTGAAAATGGACTGATTAACATGTGTAAAAGCCAAACGTTGATCTGAGTATGCTACAGCACTGCCATACCTGAGATGCAACTTATGCTTAGTCAGTCACATAAGCTGCTGCATCTTTCAAATTCCAATGATTTCTGAATTATTTGAGGAAAGTATATAAATTACCTGAAAAATGTGGAGCCACATAACCTGTATTATGTACTTATTGTGCCCTCTGCAGCAGCTGGCATTGTAGCCCGCATCCCACTTGTCCTAATTAAACACCAACGTTAATCCCTTCTCAGGCAGCGCATTGTCAGTTTTTGGTGGGCTCCATGGGAGCCTGCACAGCCCACCAGAGGGCCCCCACGCTGTGTGCACAGATCCTACCCAGTCCCATAGCTGACTTGCCCCACGAAAACCCTTCTTCCTCTGACACCGCTGTCCTACTCTACTGCCCCCAATCACATTCATCATGCAGGATTGCATTTCTCTTTGCCAAAAGCCAGGTAATGCCACTGTCCTTCTGTGGCAAACATCTGTGAGAATGAAGGTACTTATGAGTCTTTCTTGCTCCACTAGGCAATAGGCAAAGATGTACTAAGGCCTGGAAGGAATATGTCTTAATCAATGCTGCCATATACAGCGTGAGCACTCTGGGTCTTATGATGTGGTTACAGAGCTCTGAAGTGCTTCCCATCACCCACACCATGCAGACTGGGATTACTTCTGACTCTGGAATAGTTTCCACGGAGAAAATATGGACCCAATTTCATCAGATGTTAAACTGTACAAAAAGCTTCAGGATAGATGGTGGAGAGTACACTATTTTTTTGGGAAGGAAGGGAAATCATCCAAATGATCTCATGAGACTTCTGCCTTTCTGGTGTGTTTGTGATACTGTGGCAGAGCTACATCACTATTAGTAATGCTTCCTGTTTCAATATGCTGGCAATGAGAGGGTATGAAGAGACATGAATATTTACAAAATCACTGAGGTTTTCAGAGTCCATCATCAACCAAAATTGTACTTGTCTGTCATTGTTTTAATCAGCCTTCCTGAACAGTTTAGTCACCTGAATGTTGACATGAAAGGTCATGTCACCTGGAATTGCCATGTCAGCCCACTGTGGAGCAGCCAAGGAGAGCAACTCCCAGTGACAGGAACTGGGAAGAAGTGTGTCCTACTCACTCAGCCAGTAAGAGCAGTTTTAAGCAATGTCATCAAGTGGAAGTCATTTCTCTCCAAGGTGGTATAGTAGGTGTAGCTCAGAGACAATTCCTCTTATTCCAAAGGAGAGTGGATAATGAACCACCCAGGGAAAAGGGATTGTGTCCTCAGTTTTTGAAAGTCAGGAACGTTTAATTGATGTAGAGAAAGACACAGGAAAGCCAATGTCCCTCATTAGCAGCAAGATTCAGAATAGTGAAATTTAGGGCTGGAAATGGACAGAGGGTTCTCAAGAGACTGATTTGCAATGACAAATGGAACATCTCTATCTTAGCTAGGGTCTGTATGACAGAAAATGGAAGCACTCACAAAGGGGACAAAATCTGCATAATAAAAGATATTTTAATGAGAATAGTGGTTGAAATTGAGACAGGAAAATGTATCCTGGAAAGATGATCTATCCATGGGGCACGTGTGATGTGTATCTGCTTAGAGAATTCCCTTTGGAAACACTAGAAGATTCAAGATTCAGCTCATGTATACAAATACATGCTGTGCCATCCTGATTGCAGCAACATGGCACATGCATGTTTTAGCTCTCTTATTTTTGAAGTTTATTTCAATTGTTCAATGTTCTCCTTGAATTCTTCTTCACTTATTTCCCAGGAACAGCTTGACAGTAAGTGAAAGGGGCCTGCAGGGACTTTGCTTTGTTGTCGTCAGTGAGCA